TTGTCTAAAACATTATTATAACGACACATTCAAGGTACCATTAAAAAAGCAAAGAACGCTAAGGAAAACAGAGCGGTTTGTTCAGCCTAGGATTTTTACGAATTACGGAAAAAGAGTAAGATCATTTTATGTCCCATACTTTTTTAATAAATTACCTGACGATCTATTTGGTTTACAGTCATTCAGTGTTGTTAAAAGATGCCTAAAATATTGGTGTCTTACTCATACTAACTAGTTCAGTGCGTGCGTCTCAGTGCAGACTTTGTTATGTTTTAATATGTGTGCGGTTGCATGTGCAGTTGCATTTTGATATTGTATAATTTTGACTTCTGTTGGCTGTCGGGTCCCGCCCACAAGCACCCTCGTGCTTTTGCGGGCCCGTACGTATCTGTATGTTTTCGTTCAGAAATAAATAAATAATAATAATAAATAATAATAATAATAATAATAATAACTGCGAATGACCTGTTTCGAAGCATAAACTGGACTTCGGTGGCCATCCACACGACCGAGGCCACTCTGAGAATAACAATAACGTGCATCAGCGCTGCGGGCAGCTAACTCTAACTGCCAATGACCTTTTTCGAAGCATAAACTGGACGTCGGTGGCCATTCACACGACCGAGGCCCCTCTGAGAGTAACAATAACGTGCATCAGCGCTGCTGGCAGCTAACTCTAACTGTCAATGACCTGTTTCGAAGCATAAACTGGACGTCGGTGGCCATCCACACGACCGAGGCCACTCTGAGAATAACAATAACGTCTGTCAGCACTTTGTGCGGCTAACTCTAACTGCTAATGATCTCATTTCGAAACATAAACAGGACGTCTGTGGCCATTCACACGACTGAGGCCACCCTGGGAATAACAATACCTTGTGTTAGCACAGTGGAGAGCAAAATGCCAGTGCTAGTGCTCCGTTTCGAAGCTGAATAGACGCGTCGAAAGTTCCCTTGAAGTCGACGGCCATTATGACTCTTGGGTCGCACTTTGGCGAGTTGGCCAACACCTTGTGGTGGATGAGGAGCAGGCTGCCCTGTGCGCCGAAGTGCGGTCTGAAGTAGTGCGGCATAGATTTCCTGAATTTAAGAGGCGCCATTGTACTCGCTTGAAATATATCGTAAAAACAGCACTAATTGCTTGACGTGAGAAAACGTCGGCTACAACATTGATCAAGAATTGTCGAGAGGACGGAGATCTGGGGAATGCCAATGCCAGTAACTGGGCCTATAGCTCAAGCTTGATATTGTCCGTCTTGCAGAAGCGCTGTGATGAAGTGAAGCGGTCTTCCATAGAGACCTCAGTTTTGAGCCTCCCGGACTAGTGCAATGTACAGGATTAAATCTAACGTTTTCAAAGCTGATAAGAACCACAATGCACAGATTGCAGCCAGACTTGTTGCCAAGGGCAGAGTTGTGAAGTACCGAAAGGTTGTCTTGTCCAGTCCAGAACCATATCAAATTTTCCTTATGGCCCCTTATCCAATTCCAGGTCGTGAACTTTAACAGCAGAGGGGCGTGAAATTCATTTTCTTCTTTGTTTAGAGTGCATTTGTTCTGGCAATGGGTATCTAAAAATGATGCCTGCGATAGTGTTTAAGTAACGCGGCTCGGGAACAGGCTTTTTTTTCGCTGCCACTCATTTCATCAAATGACATTTCTCCGACAGTTTGTTTCAACGTTGTGACGTTTTATCAATAGATTGTTTCATCGACACTCGCTCATCGACATATCTTGCTATGTTTCGTCGACAAGATCTTGGTTTGGTTAGGGGTGCGCTGCTTAGTTGGTGAGCAAGGGTAGGGGGTAGGACCACCCTTACACGCTGCTGCGAAGCGGCATGTACGGGTGGGCTGGGTGGGTCCACATTTTTGTAATGAGCTGCCGGAGACTGTCGCCGCAAAGCGTCGTGAACTGGGTCGGTCGGATAGTTTATTATGTGCTTCAGTGATAAACGCACAACAAAATGTTCCTAAAGCGTACAATTTTTGTGTCGATAAAACTTCACAGCACAGTGTGGCAGTATCGATGAAACGAGAGTCGTAAAAAGTTGATGAAACGTGTCGATGAAACAACAGGGACCCTTTTTTCCAATGGTTCCATGGAGGCTCTGACAATGAGGACTGCAAGGTTGCCTCCAAGATGCTCAATGTTTTTACACGAGTCTGTCTTTGCCAAGGTAGACCAGAAAGACGATGGCAGATTCTGAAGAGCTCGTTTGCGGCTACGGCCTGGTATGATCCAGAGATAAACATACATCAGAAATGTAATTAGGCGGTTTGAGCTGTTGCTTGATTCAAACATTGTTGATTTTATTGTTATAAAGACAAATCATTCTGCCACTTGCATTCGGACCAAGATCAGGACATCAAGAGTATTCGGTATGTTTTCAATTCTTCATTTAAACAAATATTTCGCATATAAGAAAGCCACAATTCATGAAGCGGTAAGCTGCCCTTACAATCAATTTTTATTGACCATACTTTTCATCTTTTACAAATTATTAAACCAATGCTGCGATCCAGCATTGTGGACACATTTTCATTCTAAAGTAAACTGGAAAAATTGGTGCGTGTTTACCGGTAATACCTCAGGCCGCGACTCAACGCGAGTGGAGCTACACGCGTCACGTACCCGGGTTTCGAAGCATAAACTTACGACTAACAGCGCCTCGAGAGCAAGCAGAATGTTCGGAAGCATTTGAGAGAACCGAATTCGCTTCCCTCGAATTCTCTAGTACTTCTTCCAAAAGAAGACATCAGCTTCTTAACGTCCAAAACAATATCAATTAAATGTTTGTAACATACGCATCACTGGCTTTATCATTTGTGTGCCACCTGTATGTAACAGCTCATTATTGCGAACGAGGGTGTACCCGCGGGTACTATCGCAGTCATTGATTACCGTGCAGCCGATTGCGACGCGGAGACTTGAAAATGACGCCACGTTTCACAGATGAATGCATACTGCTTCGAAAGCGTCATTTCAGTAGACAGACTATTTATTAACGCCAGCAAAGGTACGGTCGAAATTGGGTAAAGACACTTACTGTGTTCGCGGCCCACTTATGCCCCTCCCGCACAGCCCACTACACTTATAAAGAAGAGTTTGGTGACCGCTGCATTTTAACGTTGCTCCACGGAAACCACTGCGAAGAAACGCCGATGCCTTCACGATGTTGAGGCGCAACCCGAGACAGAGAAGCAGACGGCGTTCGACGTATGTACAATGCTAGGCCTTACTATCGAAATTTTCGATGGCAATGCTATCGCTGGATTCTCACGCTGTGGCGCAGAACCTATTGCGAATAAAAGTGGTCGGGTAAGTGAAAAACAGCATTAAAAACAGAATAATTGCTGCAAGATACTCGAGTCGTAGAAAATCTGCCCGGCAGCCATGTTGAAAATATTCATTTGCCAGAACAAGATTGGTTCGGGCAGGTCGTGACGTCACGGAAACAACGGGACGCGATTGGTGGCGGAGGAATACAAGATTCCCTTTGAGGGGCTTTTGCCGCTACCTTCTTGACTTGTAACCGACTACAGTGTGCTCTTGGAACTTGCGAAAAGTTAAAAATTTATTTGCTGATTTTACACTTGAAGTTTTTGAAAGATAAATTCAACGTATAAGATAAACTTTTGTGATATATCAGGCGGGCGCGTTTCAAACTGGGCGTTCCAGCTTCGAACAGAAAGTTGAGTCATGTCGAAATGAGTTTTGGCTTTCTTGGCATGCATCGTCGTTATATAAAAAGTATTAGACTGTCCAATAAGTGAGTAACTCGTTGTGTTGCATCTTGTGGAAAAACAGATATCTCTGCATAGGGAGTGACATCAATCTAGCAGATGTGCCTCTCTCCTAATAGACAATGACCTCATAAAATAGTTCGAGTTATTTAAATAACGGAAGCATATGCTCCCACTCAGGTTACTTTTTCTAACGAGCTGCCTGACGAATGCCATAAACCTAACAGGACAATATTACCCATAAATTCAGCTTAAAACGCAGTGAGTAATTTGAACACTCAAAATTTGCCAAAAGTTATATGTTTAATTAAAAATATACGTGCAATCTCGGAGTGAAGGCCTACATTTTTATAAAGCGTCATTAAAATTATAAATCTAATATATGAGTACAGTGAGATGTACAGGTTGCTCCAATATAAGGTGGACAGCGGTGTTCAGGCCAAGGCTGCTCAAAAGCGGCACAGAGAGTCCCGAAGACACACGTTAAGCTGTTCAAAAGTCTGGGAAAGAGCACAAGAAACATTTCTTATCGCCCCGATTCGGCGGTCGGTTTCAGGATTAGCACGCCGGAGGCACCTTCGCGACATTTACCCCTTTTGGCTTGCCCTTCCGTGGGTGGTCTAACTCATAATAAGGAGTTTTAGTATATATTTTCGAAACATTTGTGTACAATACCTCCGCCGACGCCTTTCCGCATGCATTGTATCGTTATCGGGTACAGTTATCGTAAGAATCAGAGTTCTTTACTGAGACTCCCTAACGCCGAGACAGTAACGTTACGCTCGGTTCTTTTGTCTTATTCTCCGATGTATGCACGAGTAGACCCATATACTCCAAGAAAGGTGATCAAAAAACATACAATAAAATGACAAGTACCAAAAGTTTCAATCAATTAAAATAAAATGTCTAAACAGAAGGACCAAGAGCGTATGCTTGCGAAGACAAACTTTGATGAGATTCGTGTTTTCTGACCAGGAAATATCTGGGGTGCCTCACCTAATAAATCGTGATATGGGCTTGAGTTCATCAGAGTCAGCTATTTATTTGGGTTTCTGTGCCACACAATAGCGATGCATGCGTAAAAGCTGTTTCAATTTGTCTGATTTTTATATCGAGTCAAAGATAGATGAAGTTGGACTTCACAGTCCAGAGCTGGTTTCTCGTTTACTTGAGTCATAACGTCATTTAGGTTAACAATTATTTAATAACGTATACAATCTGATTTTACGCTATAGTTTTAATCAGGGTTCATACCTGTCGTACGGTGATGTCACAAAAGCTTGGATGTTTATGTTCGCAGTAACTAGTCATATTCAGATTCGTCCCCGGAAGCACAGCCGCATCTGGCATAGTAGGTTTCGGAGTTGATTTAATTTTTAGACAATCTTCGCTTAATGTCCTGAAAACAACAACAACAAAAAATGCTTGCACATGAAGAGAACTCCCAACATAACTCAGAGTCTTTTAGACTTAGAGCATTTATAAAAACCGGAAAGTTCATAATGGCGGCTATCGGCGAAGTATTGTATTGAACGGCCAGTCCGAAGTGGACGAAAGGAGCAGATTTTGAGACTGAAGGTTTCGGAAGCAATCTCGTCGGGGATGGTTGTTCTACCTGGAGAATTTTAAAATAAGTTAATAAATATTTATGTATCGTTGAGGCTACATAAATATTTATTACATTATTTTAAAATACTTCAGCTAGAACAAGCAGCCCCGACGAGATCGATTCCAAAAACCTTCAGTCTCAAAATCTGCTCTTCTTCGTTCGCTTCGGGCTGGCCGTTCACTACGGTGTATTGCTAATTGAGCGAAATATACTTACTTTAAAAAGAATATTACACAGCCAAATAGCTAATGTTTGTAATGGCGCTTAAAACAATTTGCTACAGAGTACAATAAGTATTAGAAACTTTTTTTTTTTTTTTTACGTAAGGAGAGTCGAGGCAAGAAATTTTATAGTGAAGCCGATCATGCAGGAGGGGGCGCGATACTCACGCCGCGGTACCACCATCTCTAAAAGATGCGAATACGGAAAGCAAGAACGTCTTCGGCGCCATGGAACACAAACGCGGGCGCGCAGTCAAAAAGCGACACCCAACACGCCAAGAGAACGTGCGATGACTGGGCAGTCAAGCGAGAGAAGTAATTGGTTAATATTGCAGGGAAACAAAATCATCTAAAAGCATGAGGATATTAAAATAAAAAAAAAAAAACGCACGAGGTGCCCGAACAGCAGAGTCACTTGCACGACGTATTGACTCAAGTCGAGAGAGGCATATTTGTTTTTTTGTTTGTTTCTTTATTTATTTTTGACACAGTTGTCAGGGAGGTTGGGACAAAAGGCGAAAACGAATCACATGACTAGGTCCCAACCCCCGTTACAGCACTCAGCAGCAGGGCACAGGAAATGAATCAAAAACAGCATTAATCAAAAATAAAACAAAATCTCAGAAGATAAAAATATGAGACACAAAAAACGTACAATCCATTTTGATGTGAACTATACTAGGAATACACACTAGGCACATTGAAGTATACCGTAAAGTATTTTTTAAAAAGAAACATGCACTCTATTGTCTCTGCCAATTCGAATACACAATAATTTCTGTTAAGAAGATCGGTTATCTGGTAGGATTTTTTTTTGTGTTTGTGTACAGTAATTAGTTCTTATTTTAGATTTTGAAAACTGCTGATGTCTCAAATTGTAATTTGTTTGCTTGGATAAATATGTTCCGTAAAATATTGCGGGATTCGTATTTATTTGAGTATGAACTGAAATTGCGATCTTTAGGTAAAAAAGATTGTCTAACGTTAATATTCCATGTTTAATAAAGCTAGGGGAAGTCGATTCAGTCCAAGGTAAATTATCAATTGACATAACTGCGCGTTTTTGCAATGTAAATAATAGCTTAATATTACTTGCTGTAGTCGTCCCCCAGACCAATAAACAGTAATGCAGCCTCGAGTGAATCAAAGATATATCCAGTTGTTTTTTTAACCAGACTGGAAGGAGGTATTTTAACTTACAAATTAAACCAATTGATCTAGAAATATCCCTTCGGAGTTCGTTCACTTGGCAAGTCCAGTAAAGATTTTCGTGAAAATGAACACCAAGAAATTTAAAGGATTCCACGCGTTCAATATTCGAGTTTTAAAAAGATACACTAATTTCGCTAGTTATGGGCTTATTTTTTGCTCTAAAAATACTGTACTTAGTCTTTGCCGTATTCAGCTCTAACTGGTTTGAGCCTAACCATAAATGAAGTTGCTTCAGCCAATTATTTGTTTCTCTTCCTACGATATTCAAAAAGCTACCAGTAAAGAATACATTCGTATCATCTGCATATAAAATTATGTTAGGTGTTTGTGGGATGTTTACTATATCATTGATGTAAAAAAAGAAAAGTAATGGCTCGAGAATGGACCCCTGCTGCACACCGTATCGAATTTTTGCTAAAGGAGAGCGCATACCATTGAGGACGGTATATTAAAAACCTTGATGTCAAGTAACTGCTTATCAAGTTTAGCACACTGCCTCTTATTCCATACAGCGGCAGCTTTCGGAGTAGGATGTCGTGTTTTATAGAATCGAAGGCCTTCCTGAAATCTAAAAAAAACACCCAGAGTGTAGCAATGATTTTCAATATTGTCCATGATTTTGTTTTTGATATTTAGCAGGGCCATTTCAGTTGATTTACATTCCCGAAGAATCCTCCGCAATTAATCTTCTGATCTCAGTGTTGATAAACAAAAAATACCCGGCCATACAGGGATGAACAGCAACTATAGAAAATACACTAAAATTATGCTCGCGTGCCCTGAGACTCGTTTGTCTCGTTAATTCATTTTTTTCTTTGTTAAAAAAAAGGACAGGTGTGAACTTCATCGCGAGGCAGTCGCCGGAAAAATAAAACTAGAAAAGTACAAGCTAAAGGCTAAAAAAGCTAGATGGTATTTTCCGACTGTTTTGCGCTAGGAAAGCTTAGAGACAAGTACATTGATGCCGTCAATTACTCTGAGTCGAACTAAACACCAACGAAAACAAACATGAGCGAAATGGCAGTTATTCCATAAATACTACAGATGCCCTCCTTACTATACTGTTAGAAAATTAATCAAACATCTCTCGTTGGTTATTTATCCTTTGTATTTTTAATGTAGAAAATCGCGTAACAATTTGCGAGCATTCACAGGCGCTGTACGTTCCGACAAATGTACGACTTTGCACTATCACGGAACTGCAGAGGAAGAGATAAACTGATGCGTGATGCAATTGCGCGCCGAAGTGATAGCCAATTCTATCAGTTTCACCGCGGTTTCATTTTCTTGTTTCGGCGAGTGTTTTATTACCAACGAACCTCCCAGGCTGAGAGGTTTCCAACTCGTGTTTTCTGGCAATGACCCCAAATCTTAGGCAAAATAATATATCGACAGACTTAAACACACAAAAAAATAATAACATTGCTTTGTGCTTGGATCGACTGAGGTATCTGTTAAGTGGGAGGGCACAATGGGAAAGCTCGTTTAATTGTGGTCTAACTCTGCAGTGAGGAGCGTGTGATTTGGCATCCTGTCACCCTCTTACTGTGTCTTCAATGAGAAGAATAGAGTTTTTTTTTGTTTTTTTTGATCGAATACAAATTTTGATAAAACAAAAACCGTGACAGCTACACCAATGCGATCCTTGCAAGCGAGTTATGCCGCCAGACAAACAATATCTTCAAGGGGAATGCAACAAAAATGACTAATAATGAACATTCGCAAATCGCTTTATTAGTTATATGTTATAGGGCAGATGTTTATATTGAAAAAATAATAAAAAATCGATCTTGAAGGCCAACATAGTTTAAAATAAATGGATTAAGCAGCCACTTCAAGGTATTCATTGTGAAATTGTGGTCTAGAAATCTGTCGATACCGAAACGAAACACGCCCAGTGTCCCCCGAAAAAACAACCCTCATTCGACGCCGGAGGGGCACGTGTCAATGGTGGAATTTTCATCATTACTTTACGTCACAGCGCCGGAGGTGATTTGCAGTGGGTGCTCTCTGCCTGCTGAACTGAATCGATAAGCCACCTTACGTCACCGACAAGTTGCTTTCTTTTGTGGCGCTATATAACAAAAAAAATTTTTTTCCTCCGATTAATATGAAGACGTCAAACACTATCTATCTGAGACGCAATCGAATAATCTTGAGAAGACACATTCCTTTGCCTGTCAAAGGGACACTACAGACGCATCGGTATTGTTCGTATCAATAGCTAGTTTATTTGAACGAAAAACATACAATTTCATACGTAATTCGGGCCGTTCATGATCATGGCAGAGTCGTAAATTGTGCCGCTCAGAACGTGTGCAACGTTTTGGCTTTGAGCTAGCTATTGCTCTTGGTGCTTTTGCTTTCACTGCTTTTGAAAGGGATGCACGGGCGGCATTGCTAGCTCGGCTGTCCTGTCTTCAGTGTTCCAGAAAGCGATTCTCCAATGACTTCCCCGGTGTGCTTCAAGTATTCAGTCACAAAAAAGTGGACGTGGGCCTGGCATGCGCTGAGATGAGTGGCAATTCCCGTCTGGCCACAGGGTTGTATGCCGCTCGTTTCCTGCATCGTCGGGTTGCCAACATGCCCAGTTTGCGAGCGTCTTTACAAACTTTCGGAAGATTGGTTGTTTGCATCACGGAAGGCGCAGAAAGGCCGCATTTGTAAGTGAAAATGATAAAACTGACGTCCTCGCCTACGTGAAAGCCCACCATCAGAGCCCGTGAGATTGCGCCTGAGTGCGGCAGGACCTTCACTTCCGTCTGGAACGTGCTCCGGAAGCAAAACCTCCATCCGTGCCGTCGTTTCCTACATCAGCACCTCACTGATGTGAACTTTGAAAGGTGACTTGAGTTATGCAAATGAGGCTCTAATTAAAGCGAGTGAAGACAATAAATTTCTCAACGAAGTAATTTGAAGCGATGGAGCAAAATTCTGCCGCGACGAAACTGAACCTTCATAATGCTCATTACTAGTAAGAGAATTACCCTAGTTGGTTAGAAGATAGCCGTTAGGTACATTGGTCTCTCAAGTCCTTGTGCGGCATCCTCGGCAACAAGCTTATTGGACTTTGCTTTCTGAAATGCGATATCACTGGGAGAAAGTACACAGTGGATGTCCTTAATGAATTTGTCGATGAATTTGCCTGCGTGCTGCCACTGCAAGACCTTTGACACGCGTGGTTTCACCACAACGGAGCATAACGGCCTTTTTCGTTTGGCTCCAGAACTTCCAAAAAAGTTCCAGATCGGTAAATTGGACGAGCATGGACAATGATTGGCCTCCCAGATCGCCCAATTAGACACCAGTTGACATTTTTCTGTGGGCAGTTAAAGCCTAGGTTTCCAAACCTCGGGG